AGGAATGTAAACTTTATCATCTGGTCTAATCAACTGGCCTAACACCACAAGAACCCATCTTCGGAAAGAAAGGAACTCAATTAAGGATTTTAAGAATGACCCTTTCCCAAGAAACCCTGAGGGCTGTGTCAGGCTTCAGCTGGGCAGCCTCTCCCAAGAGCATTATAATTTACCTGATTAACCCTTATGCGTGTTCAAACAAGCCAGCTGAATTCCACTGCTGAGAGCAACAAGAACACCTCCCCTCCCCTCCCCTCCCCCATGACTTAACCACATGCACAGAGGGCAACCCCAAAGCATGCTGGGATAGATAGGAACAACCAGTAATTGCTCCCGCTCTTCTAAGGTTATCAGCTTGATCATCAAATCAGAGGTATGTTGAGTGAGCCAACTAATTTAAACCAGCCCTCCCCATAAAAGGCCTCAGCCTGCAATTCTTCAGTGAGCCTGCTTACCGTCAGACTTGTTAATGAGTGAGCCCTGGAGAAGTGAGGTTCAGCTTCATAGGAGGGGGTGAGGGCTCTCTACTCCTTCAAGAGCCATTCACTGAAAGTTCCACCAGCCTTCCAGAAAATGGATGGCACAACCCAGCTAATGGCTTTGAAATGACGGCCGCAGGCTGGCATTACTGCTTTTCTAATTCATCATCGGGTTGCAAGCTATTTGAGGAAATTATTTTTATAATCCAGGAATACAGTCACTAGGAATCCAAGCCAACATCACACAGCCCTGGCTTCCGACTGGCCCCAACTGACAGTTGGAAATTCAGCAGAGATGTTCCTGGGTGTCAACTCCTTGTTTATGGGTCTGCATGAACCCACCTGAGAACTGGAGTGCTCCCGTGCCCTGTACACAGCACTATTTCACAGCTCCAAATCTGTGTCATACTCTGGAGACCACACAGCATCCTGCCTCCTGAGAACTGTAGAATCAAACAAAATAAACAGCCCAAACTTCTAATCCCAGTCATCCCCGTCATCCTGCAGCTCACTTCTCTACCTTTGCACACCTTTTGGGTTTTGTTTTGTTTTGACTTTAGTTATTTCCTTCCTCCTGCCTTCCTCTCTCTCCATAGGCCTACCCTTCCCTTGGGGACTGCATCAGGCCTGGATCCCACCCCCTGTCTCCCACCTCCTCCCACGCCCCATCGCCTCCACTCACTATTTCTTCCTCATCTGTCCCTTGAAATGTCAAAACCTGCCAAATGGCCCCTCCTCCCTTCACTTCCTTGGCTAATCTGGTTTCCCAATTCTTTTCCTCCCCTTGCAATAGGTGCTACTTGCCCCTGAATTCTACCTCCTTGGAAACTCTCCTGAGAGAATCCTTCTTTAATTATCTCCTTTCTCTGAAGAACAACATTTAAATATGTGATATCAGGGAGGGGTGCATTTTCATTCTAGTTAATTCATAACTGACTTAATTTGAACCTTTGAAAGGTGAAAGCGATTTTAAGTGCTTCACAATGGAGAGCAGTCAAGGCACTAATATTTTACTTTTATCAAACAGCTTGCAAAAGTTCCTTGGGACAAGCGCAGCTGCTTTCTACAGAATGTGAAATGAGTAACTCTTTTAAAAAAAAAAAAAAATATATATATTTATATATATTTTTATATATATATATATTATTGATTTTTACAGAGAGGAAGGGAGATAGCTAAAAACATTGATGAGAGAAAAGCACTGATCAGCTGCCTCCTGCACGACCCCCACATGCCCACAACTCAGGCATATGCCCTTGGCCAGAATCGAACCCGGGACCCGTTAGTCTGCTGGCCAACACTCTATCCACTGAGCCATACCAGTCAGGGCAAAATGAGTACCTCTTAATTGGGTACATATCGTAGGCAGGCCACGGGTGGGTTTGATCTTGGGTGTGATGATAAACCTCCTTCTTTATACAGCGTTGAGTGAAGCTCTCTAATCACTGACACAAGCATTATCTCATTGGTTCTCACAAGGGAGGAGCCACCTAGCATATTTCCACTGGCATGACAATTGCTTAGCACCTCAGAATGGCTCAACTTAATGGCTCAATTTGGGTGTGGCCCAACTGCTATTTAACACATATAAGAGTAAAGCCCTTGGAGTCCCCCGTGTTTCAAATTCTAGGACATTCCTGGCTGAAACATCAGTGGTTTTCCTAGACAGGTGTTCCTGTCACAGGCAGGAAAAACATGGGGAAGAGAAAGTGAAGGCGAAAGGGAGGGGAGAAAAATTCTCTATTTCTCAGACAGGCCAAAGCTTCCCAGGATGTAGAGCTGGATTAAGTTTCCTCCTACCTCAGCTTGTCACCTTCAGGCATAGAGCTGATTTTCTGTGATGCCACAGGGAGGGGTCGGAGATGACAGGGGAGATCAGAAAGGAATCTGCTGGCAACTGGGACATGAAGGCCAGTAGAGACATGAAGGTCTCCCTCCCTCAGGAGATGGGGCAGGTGCTCACAGTGGGGCAGTCATCTCTGGGCCCACAGGCCTCCCTCATTCCCATTAAATATTGATTGAATACTTGGGATGTATTCTCAGCTCTCAGAAGACAAGCTCTTCAAACCCAGGCTTTCAGCTTTTACTGAGGCCCTAAGAGAGGTAATCTTCCAGGGAACCTCTCTTTAGACGTGGCTCACCATGCCTCCCCAGGGCTCTCATCCTCCTGGCTTCCAAAGCCCCTGTTCTGTCTTGTTTTCCTCCTACCTCTTGAACTACCCATTTCTGTTCCCTATACCCCTTTCCCTTGTAGAAGTGGGTGTTCTCAGAGGCTAACTCCTCCTCTCTCTTCAGTCACTCCCTCCCCTCGGAGATCACCTAAGGGGAATCACCTCCTCCATGATGACTGGATATTCCCACACTTGACTGCCAGGCTCCTTTGATCCAGGCTCAGTCTTGTCTTCCAGACCAACCCAGGCTTCTTGTGGGCTTGGTATCCCTGCAACACAGCTTTGCATCTGCTCTCTTCCAGCTCAGCACCTGCTTCCCTCCTAGAAGGTATCTCAGGCATGCTTTAGTCTAATATGAAAGCCTGCATTTTTCTAACGAGAAACCTGAAGCTCATAGAGACTAATCAGCCACTGAAGGTTGCACAGACACCAAGGAGGCCAGCTCTCCTGACTCCCAGTGCCTGTCTTTTACCCACAGTGTCCCTGTGGGCAGCTGAGTCTGGCCTCATGGACCACTGCAATGTGGCTCACCAGTGCCCTCCATGAACCCTCCACTCCACAATGCTCTAAGCTTCCTTCCTTCACTCTCCTCTTGCCTACAGGGCCAAGCTGAAGTCTGCTAACCACTCTGTGAAGTCAATACTGCCCATCATGACTTTTGTTTTGTTTTTTTAATATATTTTATTGATTTTTTACAGAGAGGAAGGGAGAGAGATAGAGAGTTAGAAACATCAATGAGAGTGAAACATCGATCAGCTGCCTCCTGCACATCTCCTACTGGGGATGTGCCCGCAACCAAGGTACATGCCCTTGACCGGAATCGAACCTGGGACCTTTCAGTCCGCAGGCCGACGCTCTATCCACTGAGCCAAACCAGTTTCGGCCCATCATGACTTTTGATGAACACTCCCTCCTCTAGATTCTCACAGGGTCTGCTGCCCCATCCTCTGAGCTGTTCTCATCCTGAGCTCCCCATCGTGTCTGTCCACCGCAAGCAGAACAGCCTGCATTTCTGGGGAAATCTCCGGTCCCCAGCTCAGCCTAGCTGAGTGGGACACGTGATAACACACACATGGGCCACGTGAGCTGGCAGCAAGCACAGATGGCCTGTCAAATTGGAAGGTAAATTCATGAGTTGTTTATTCTCTTTTGGGGAGTCAACCCTGACTTAGGCAAAAAAGGCCTTAAGGCTTCAGGAGCCGAAAGCTATCGTGGTCATTGGGGGCGTTCTGTTTTGTGGCCTCTTTGCCTCACCATTTCCTTGGAAGAAACTTTGCTCATTGTTATTTATAAAATTAAATCTTATTTGTCAATAAACGTGCACAGCAATGCAAGTCCACAGTACTACTGCTTACACAAACACTAATGCCCGTACAACTTTAAAACCATAAATACCACAAGGTACCAGCCTAGTAGCACAGGCTTTGAAGTCATACAGAGTCCCAGACCAGCACTCCCTCAGCCATTTACTGCCTGTTCAGCAGCACACACTACAGCTCTAACTTTTCTTCAGGGTCCTTATGCCTTTTAAACAAGTTTTATGCAATTGTTTTTATTGTTTCAAATATCTTGGTCTGCGGCTAGGGGAGCAGTGGGCTGCAGCCCCACAGCCATTTCCTGAAAGAGAATGCGATTTGATTCCCAGAACACACCAGGCCTGAGGTGCTGCGTGTGTGTGTGTGTGTGTGTGTGTGTGTGTGTGACACCCATCTGCTCCTGCAACGGCATGTCCGGTGTCTGAATGCTGACTCCCTTCCCACCCACACACACGCACACCTTCTCACCCAGCAAGACAGCCCCTGCCCAGCCAGCACCCTCAAAGGCTAATTTTCCTGAATGATGCTCCAAAAGGAATGAAAACAAGTGAGCTCACTGTGTAATTGCCTCTCACTCTGTCTACCACTTTCGAAACCAGGGATCTCACTGGCTCATGTGCAGAGCTGAAGTTGATTTCACAATACTTCATCTTTTACTCTCCTCAGGTACACGCAGGAGAAGTGAAATGGGAAATCTCCAAGTGTCAACCATTCCATTAAAGTTCCCCCAGAAGGCAGTGAGAGATGTCTATACAAGCAGATCTGTCCTGCTTCAAGATCGCACGCAAAAATCCAGGATGCCAAGACCTACATTTGCAAAATTTCTTGTTTGCCAAATGGGCACATGGGGATTAGAAAGGGCCTGGACACCACTTCTCTGGGCCTCCGCTCCTTGTCTCTAAAGCAGCGGTTCTCAACCTGTGGGTCGCGACCCCTTTGGGGGTCGAATGACCCTTCCACAGGGGTCGCCTAAGACCATCGGAAAACACATATATAATTACATATTGTTTTTGTGATTAATCACTATGCTTTAATTATGTTCAATTTGTAACAATGAAATTGGGGGTCACCACAGCATGAGGAACTGTATTAAAGGGTCGAGGCATTAGGAAGGTTGAGAACCACTGCTCTAAAGTGAAGAGGTTAGACAAGGGACCTTGCTAACATTGCTCTGAACTCTATACATGGTGATTCCACTTGTGTTGTTAGAGAGTCATTTTAATTATAAAAGTCTTCTCACTGCAGATCTTCCTTAAATATGACAGATACACATACTGATTTGATTTTTTTTAAAAATAAGTCAGTCAATGCTATGTTTTAGGCACACTCCACTATATGAAGAGAGGTGTACACCATGCCGACCTCACTGTTTCTGAAGCGGTTACCATCTTTTTCACACAGATGGAAATGTTGACGGATGGTTGTAGCAAACCCAGCGACCCCGCATTATTCTGAAATGAACTGGGTCCTGAGGTTTTCTGGCCCTACTGCTTTCTCTTTCACCCGCCCGCCCATTTTTTGGCTACTTCCTGGTAAACAGCCAGGAGCAGGGAATTTAATCATCCACATTATCCCTGACTGTTTCCTGGCATCCTGATTAGGTGACAAGAAAGGTGTGATGCATATTCAATCTGATGAAAACTTCAGAAGTGAGGAAGAGAAGGCCCAAATATACATAAGCTTACAGAGCTGGGGTGTCAGGCAATACCAGGTTCCTCCTGACACACACTGTTGAGGAGACAGCAGGGCACACATCTCTAACTGGATTGTCCACTTTTAGCCCCTGTCGGAACACCTCACTCCAAGCCTAATGACCACATAAAAGGAAACATAATCACACCGGAGTCCAGTGTCTCGAGCTAGGCTGCACCCTTTATAGTATACATGACATCAAGGTCAGCAGCACCAAGTGCCATGCATTTCCTCGGAGCCGAACCACCGCGTCACCTGCTGTCCTCTCCATTCCCTTTGCAACGCAAGGGCTGGGGAAGGGGAGGAGACTGGTACAGTGATGCTTAGCAGTGGTGCTATTATAGAAGCTGCCACCCCATGTGAGGTTAAAACAGTGAGGACACCACATGGTATGGCAGCTTCTACAAAACCACTGTAGTGTTTGATGACTGAAGAGGATATTCATAAGTCACCATCATGGAACGACTGAAATTCTCTATGATATCCTGCCTGGTGTTGGTCCCACTTTTTCTAGTGGGAGTCTCTACCTTCTGTGCCCCCTGAAGAGCCATAAGCCCTAGCAGGTTGGGGGATGCTGAGCATGAGGTCCCTGGAAGGTTCTGCAAGCCAGCCTGTTGGCACAATGGGCTTGGGGGGTAACCTTCAGGCACACCTCTATCCTGGCACTTGATTGACCTTAGTCATTTGAATGGCAAGCTGATTGATTAAAATGGGCTTCCGGAAAGCCCACGAGGGAATTGGGGACCCAGTTACGGCAGACTCTGGTGAGACGGACTCAAGGTAACCTGGAGCCCAGAGAAACTTCTGCAGAAGCACTGAGAACAGAGCAGCCTGTTAAAAGATGGTGAAACTGAGTGGGGCTACAATTGAGAGTGCAAATGCCTGTTCACAGTCCCCGCCAATTACTGTATTATTAGGAGATAGGATGAATCAACTGAGTGGAACACAACCGTGCTGAGAATCATGCACTCGTAGACGTATACACCTTCCAGATTTTAAAGAAGCTTGAAAGTCCGTGGATGCTGCAAAGTCACCCAGTTGTGATAAAGTAACACACACATTAATTGAACCTTGTTTCACACCAGTGACCAGGGAAGTCTACACTGTCTGTCTCAAGCTGGCCACTGCCCCAGGAAGTGAGGCCCCTCTGGTCCCACAGGTGCTCCGGTCCCTCTCTGCAGCGGGCTCCAGGCACCTCCTAGCCAGGCCTGCTGGGCTCCTTGGTCTGAAGGGTGCACTCCAGGCTCCCTGTCTGTGCCCTGAGCAGTAGAGAAAGAGGCAGGGTCGGGCTATTCTCTTTCCCCTCCGACACCTGGTCTCTCTACTCCTGGCTTCTCAAACTGGGCCACAGAGAGCATCCTCCTGAGTGCCAAGCTACCCGAGGAGGGGAGGGCAGCTTCTGGACATCACAGGAGCAGCTCAGGCTTTATGTTCAGTCAGCCTTTGTTCTATTCCTGATTCCACGTTCACAGCTTTGTAGTTTTAGGGCCTGTTTTTAACCTCTCTGAACCTCAGTTTTCTTTTTCTTTTTTTTAATATATTTTATTGATTTTTTTTTTTTTACAGAGAGGAAGGGAGAGGGATAGAGAGTTAGAAACATCGATGAGAGAGAAACATCGATCAGCTGCCTCCTGCACACCCCCTACTGGGGATGTGCCCGCAACCAAGGCACACAATGGGTAGGTACACAATCTAGCATTGATGAATCAGATGGTTTATGCCTGGGATTTCTGTGCCCTTGACCAGAATCGAACCTGGGACCCTTCAGTCCGCAGGCCGACGCTCCATCCACTGAGCCAAACCGGTTAGGGCTGAAGCTCAGTTTTCTTAATTGTTATGTATAATTAACACAAAGGGTTATTATGTATTAAATGAGATAATATACACAATCAGATCCTTAGCACCATGTCTGGCACATGGAAGAGCTAAATGCATTTTGGTTTCACAATTGTTTCTTCAGTCTTCAAGGCAATTGGAGATGCCAGCAAGCCACTCTGGCCCCTGAGCCCAGAGATCAAAGGCGCATGCTTGCTTTCTCTCTGCCATTGACTATATTATAGTGGGGACACTCTAAATGGGCTTGTCCTCTAGGTTTGAAAGGCACTATTCCTATAAAGTGAGGTTAGATTACTTACTATTCTAAAAGTTTCATCAGATCATATGATCTTTTAAATAAATAAATTAATTTGCTAATGCTTTATTAGGCCCTCCTATATGAGAGGCCCTAGGTCAAGCACCAGAGATTCAGAAAAAAATAATACAAATCTTGCTGTCAAAAAGCTCATGATGAAATAGAGGCAAAGGTAAAGAAAACTAATAACCATAACAAATGAAACGTGGTGCGACTGAGGGGAGTAGAGGGGGTTGGGGGAACTCTCTGAAAGAGCATCTACTCCAAAAGGGGTCCAGGTGGCCACAAGACCCCCCTGAGGAGCGGCAAGAGAGTGATCCCAACAAAGGAAACAGCATTTGTTGAGGGAACAGGAAGTAAGTAAAAGGGCAACACTAGGGTTGGACGGATCAGTTCGGTGCTGTGGTCAATATTTGTTGTTGTTTTGGTGATCCACGTCCGACTCCCTTCCTTTTTCTGAGAAACCCTCATTTTGCAAGTGTTGGTAGGAATCAGGCCTCTCTCCCACTACAAAAGCTGGAACCAGAAGTTGCTTCTCCCATGGGCAGCAAGGGGTAGGTACACAATCTAGCATTGATGAATCAGATGGTTTATGCTTGGGATTTTTGAATGTTCAGGATGACCAAATTTCGGCCACATCCGAAGTCCCAGCAGTGACAGAACTGAAAAAATACAGAGGAGGAAAAGGCCATGGTGAGTTCCTTACCAGGCAATTCTAGGGTATGTCTTCACTGCATCTCCTGATGTATTTTCAGAGGATGTGTGAACAACCTTTCTGTGGATGTGTGAACTACCCAATACACTCTGAATAAATTTCTCCTGCTTATGATAGCAGGAATCAACTTCCATTTCTTGTATCCAAGAATCCTGATGACAGAGGTGGTTATTATCACCATCAGGGTACAAATGCTGAGGGCGAGAACCAAAGCAGAGATGGGGGAGGTACGTTCAACAAATAATGAGGAGGTTGAAGAGTCAGGAAGAATCTGAGGATAAAGGACAGTATCAAGGACAACTTGCAGATGTGTAATCTGGAAGCCAAAGAGAGCAATGATCAGTGAAAATACAAAGGGAGGACCAGATTTATGGAGAGTAGGAAATGATGGGCTCAGTTTGCACATACTGAATTTGAGGTGACTACATGACATTCAAAGCATTATGCTTACCAGCTGCTGGGTGTACAGGTGGCTCTGGGAAGAGTCCAGGCTGGAGAGTGAGGAGATTAGAAATCAACAGCTGGAAAAGGGAAGGGAAATCGGGAGAGTGTTGTGTCATACGAACCAAGGAAGGAGTTGAGGGTTGCAGAGACATTGGCCTCCTAGTGTCCAATGCTGCAAAAAAAGACCAAGTATAAGACCAGGACAGAAATGTGAATGCTGATCATTGGTGATTTTAGCACCTGGGAAGTCACTGGTGATATTGGTGATTTCAGTGGAATGGTAGAAAAAAAGATAGACTTCAATGGGTTGAAGGATGAACAAGAGTGAAAAAGTAGAAAACATGCAAAAGCTTCTTTCTTTTTAAAGGGTTCATTTTAAAGGAGAGAGGAATGTCTAAAATTGAACAAAATATTGAGTATTACCTTTTTTAAATGAAGGTCATTCATTCATTTTATAAAATACTAGTGGGAAAGGAAATTAATTAGAAGAAATATTTTAATGTCACTATTTGCCCTTTCTTTATAATAGAAGTGTCAACCAAATTCACAATCGGCAATGACAGATCAAAACCCACACAAGTGTGACTGGCACCAGCCAGAGCTTTATATGTATCGCACATGCACGAGTCAACTTAGCCTTTTATAGATATAGAATAAACTTGCTTAATTAGAACTGCTTTCTGATGTAGCTAAACTTTTTCCAGCCCAGTGAAGCACCCCAACTTCTCTTTCAGGTAATTGTCAGCAACACAGCAGTAAACATCAACACAAAGTAAATTATTATTGTAGATCATGCAGGGAGAACAAAGGGTAAAATATTTAACTGCAGCAGTGCTTGACTATATTCTGTGCAGTGACAAAACCTAAAGTCATTTTCAAGGTCCACCATTTCTTACTTCTTTTCAGTCTGGTCAAGTTTCTAAATCTCGGTTTTCAGGCTAATTAAAAGAAAATACGATTCCACCAAGTCTCCTATCTATCTACTCTAGGACTTCTGTGAGGATCAAATGATACAGGCATGGGAAAACACTTCACAGACATTTGGTTACAGTGTGAAATGTTTCCACCTGGCTATAAAGCAAGTCATGTTCCTGGGCTGAAGAAACTGCAAGGAGGCTAGTCGATAGGGAAAGGAAACTGGGCGTTGCTACATGACACCATTACTTGGATGGTCAGACACTTAGCATATTAGCCTTTTATATATATATAGATTGAATGATCACCTCTTATTGGATATGTCTGGGATATACAATGAAGAATACAACAGACATGGTTTTGCCCTTAAGGGCTTATGGTTTAGAGAAGAGATGCTAAACAATGTGATGAGTGATGTTGAGGAAAAGAATAGGTGCTCTGAGAAAGGACAATAAGGGATCCTAATTTAGGTTGGAGATTCAGGAAAAGCCTCCAACCAGGGAATGATCAAGAAAAGGGATCAGGTGGAGAGAAGGATATTTCAGGCAGAAAGAACAGCAAGTGCTGACACCCTGAAGTAGGGAGGTTGAGCACGTCTACACACAGACGTGAAGGAGCCAGGGAAGACATGCAGCAGACTGGTGTGGTGAGGAGCCTGAGGTGGAAGGAGTGGCCTTCTGCAGTGAGAATGACACACACCTGTTCCACAGACATCAGGAGGGTGGGTGTGGGTGGAGGTGAGCCTGTGGGTCTGGAAGCAGGAAGTTGAGGGAGTTGTCTAATGGCTACTGTTTTCTTTGTGAAATAGCAGGCCTGGTGAGGCATGCATGACTGGATGAGGTGGTGGTGGGAAATGCTATTATGGGCAATGGAGGAGGAGCCGAGCTCACTCACAGCTCAACGCTTACTCTTTTCCAAGTCCTCTCAAGGCTACCCCTCCTTAACAACGGCGTCCTCACTTTCTGGTACCAAAGCTTCAAAACCAGGGCGAAGGAGCCTTGGATCTCTGGATGCTTAGCACCAGAAAGACACTCAGAGATCTTAACTTTCATTCATTTTTCCTACTATCTAATTAAGTAATTTACTCAGCAGAAAGCAACTAAATGCCGAAAACGTGGCCCATCAACGTATCTCCTCAGGAAGCCCTCATCTGTTGGATGGATTCTGTTTGTATCTTTCCTTTTAATGGCTTCCCCTTTTTAATAAAGTGGGGGTTTCCTTCATATCTCTTGCTTTCTTATCATTGTATGTCTGAATATCTTAAATGTATTCAGCTTTCACTAAAGTGAGGCCTGAATTATTTTTCTCTGTTTAATACTCAAGCACAATTACATAATTATTTGTAAGCAGGCAAAATTAAATCAATTCTTTAAGAGGTGGCTATAGACTCAGGATGAAAGTTCAACACTCCTGGCATGGGATCAAGTACATTCTAAGCTACGATGGCTTAACAATATCCCCAGTCATTGCTACTACATTCACAAATATCTTGGCCTCCAAGGACCTCTGAATCTGACTTGGTATTTTTTTCAGATTCATCCCCAAACAAAGTATACTAGTTTTGCCCCTCGGTTCAGAATAATGACTTAAAAGTTTCTCCCATTACAGCACGAAGGCATGAAGCATCTGAAGACAATCTTCTTGCAATGAAGACATTGTGAAGAGCTTATGGTGATGTCACACTGCATGGGATACAGAAGTCCACAGGAGAGGGAGAAAAAAGCTAAGGAGAGGGGAAAGGAGTAATGAAGATAGAGAAGTGAGATGTTATCTACACAGCATAGCTCCTTTCATAGACATCTCAGTGGCGGGTCTAGATCCCAGCCAATAACCAGCCTTTCGAGAGCTGCCTGGGACACATGAAAGTGCGCGCGTGCACACACACACACACACACACACACACTCACACACACTCACTCACACTCACTCACACTCACCCTTTACCTCCCGGCAGAAGCTGTAATAATTCCATCTGTTAATAAAGTATGTGATCAATCTCCCTCAAGAGTTATTCCATATTCTACCCTAACTGCCATCAATTTAAAACTCTAGCACCTCATATTCTTTTACAAGAAACTTTCTGGGCTTTCTGTAAGTAGCATGGAAGCCAGATAATTTGCCGCAGATCTGTGGAATGAAAATGATGACACGTGGAGGTGAGGTGAGAAGGGGGGCCATCAGGGACCTCTTTACACTCACTTTCAGGGTTACAACCAGAGAGCTGGGCAGGAGGAAAGAATGTGGGCACCGCCAGAGAAATATGTAAGGTACTTCGGGATACTGTCTTTCTACTTTCTCCCCTCTCCCTTTTTACTCAAAAGAAAGGAAAAACTTGCCCGGGAGAAAATACCGGCTTAAATGCTACTTGTCATTGAGACAGAAGTTCACCATGGGATTCTCTCAGACCATTTCCTCTTCGCCTTCCTTCAACTACGTTTGCCTTAGTAGAGACTGCTGCTATGAGACAGAAAAGAGAAGTACCCATCAGCACACAGCTCCATCAGGACACAGGTCACAGCAAGGAGACGGTAATCCCCCAAGCTCCACATCAACCTCAAAAGCATTGCTCCTTGCTGTCATTTTCATTCGCACCAGCCCCGCATTTCTATTAAACGAGTCTCTTTCTAATGGACTGCTTTCCTCCATGGCATAAGAAGGTAAAACGTCGGCCTGCAGAGACATTACGAAACACGGAGCTTTTACTTTGGTAGAACCAGTAAGAGACCGGAGAGGACAACTTCCAAGGGCTCTCCTTCGGCTTCTCGGGCTCCCGGAGCTGCTGTGATTGACTTAACATGTACCAGTTGGCCAAGAGGCCACTTGCAAAGACAAGGAATTTCACAATCTTGAACATTCTGCGCCCTCACGCTCATTTCCCCCAGCCATCCCCACTCCCACCCCCGCGTACAAGAGGACTTTTGTAGACATAAAGTTTCAGGAAACAAAGCATACAAACACTCACACACAAATAAACTCCCCGAACTAACACGAGCGTATAATTGTGTTTTGGTTGGAGCTTGTCCAGCCTTGTCACCCGTTCTCTGTTAGGAGTAAATGAAACCCTTGGCTTTGGCAAAGTTAGAAACAGACAGACTCTCCTCAGTTTCACGCTGCACAAGGCTCCAGTCATATCTCTCAGCCCCTTCGGCCCCCAACAGAATGAACTCGCTGCTGAAAAAGCCAGCAAGGGGGGAAAAAAACCACCCGATTCCCCGAATAAAGAGCTTTCACTTCTCCCCCTCCCTCAGCTTCCCCTTTTAGCCTGGAACACAGGGCGTTTCTAAGTTCTGAAACCCTTTTCAAGAGACCCTCGACTTGGAGGGCTCTTCCAGGGGACGGGCTAGGGGCTGTCCTGATGCAGGCGGTGCTTTTCCGAGGACGTTGTGCATTCTTGGAGGCAATGCCGGGGCCGCTCCGTTTCCAGAGAAATCTACAGGGCAGCCTTCAGCGGGCTGCCTGGGAGCTGGGTCCCGCTCTTCCTCCCATCCGCTCTGAAGGCGGCTGGATGGGGAGGGCACAGCCTTAGGCACAGGCAGCTCCAACAGGGCAGGGCAGGGCCGGGAAGGCGCAGGGAAAGGAACAAAGTAC